AGGTCGCGGGTTCGATCCCCTCACGGGCCAGTCTTTTCCTGCAGTTTTTAATTGTTTGGAAGGGAGCCCTCCGTACAGAAAAATAGTCTGATAAAGTGCATTCGCGTTCGTCGGCCCGTTAGCTCAGTTGGTTAGAGCGTCGTGCTAATAACGCGAAGGTCGCGGGTTCGATCCCCTCACGGGCCAGTCTTTTTCCTGCAGTTTTTAATTGTTTGGAAGGGAGCCCTCCGTACAGAAAAATAGTCTGATAAAGTGGATTCGCGTTCGTCGGCCCGTTAGCTCAGTTGGTTAGAGCGTCGTGCTAATAACGCGAAGGTCGCGGGTTCGATCCCCTCACGGGCCAGTCTTTTCCTGCAGTTTTAAATTGTTTGGAAGGGAGCCCTCCGTACAGAAAAATAGTCTGATAAAGTGCATTCGCGTTCGTCGGCCCGTTAGCTCAGTTGGTTAGAGCGTCGAGCTAATAAAGCGAAGGTCGCGGGTTCGATCCCCTCACGGGCCAGTCTTTTTCCTGCAGTTTTTAATTGTTTGGAAGGGAGCCCTCCGTACAGAAAAAATAGTCTGATAAAGTGGACGCGTTCGTTCGTCGGCCCGTTAGCTCAGTTGGTTAGAGCGTCGTGCTAATAACGCGAAGGTCGCGGGTCGCGGGTCGATCCCCTCACGGGCCAGTCTTTTTCCTGCAGTTTTTAATTGTTTGGAAGGGAGCCCTCCGTACAGAAAAATAGTCTGATAAAGTGCATTCGCGTTCGTCGGCCCGTTAGCTCAGTTGGTTAGAGCGTCGTGCTAATAACGCGAAGGTCGCGGGTTCGATCCCCTCACGGGCCAGTCTTTTTCCTGCAGTTTTTAATTGTTTGGAAGGGAGCCCTCCGTACAGAAAAATAGTCTGATAAAGTGCATTCGCGTTCGTCGGCCCGTTAGCTCAGTTGGTTAGAGCGTCGTGCTAATAACGCGAAGGTCGCGGGTTCGATCCCCTCACGGGCCAGTCTTTTCCTGCAGTTTTTAATTGTTTGGAAGGGAGCCCTCCGTACAGAAAATAGTCTGATAAAGTGCATTCGCGTTCGTCGGCCCGTTAGCTCATTGGTTAGAGCGTCGTGCTAATAACGCGAAGGTCGCGGGTTCGATCCCCTCACGGGCCAGTCTTTTTCCTGCAGTTTTTAATTGTTTGGAAGGGAGCCCTCCGTACAGAAAAATAGTCTGATAAAGTGCATTCGCGTTCGTCGGCCCGTTAGCTCAGTTGGTTAGAGCGTCGTGCTAATAACGCGAAGGTCGCGGGTTCGATCCCCTCACGGGCCAGTCTTTTCCTGCAGTTTTTAATTGTTTGGAAGGGAGCCCTCCGTACAGAAAATAGTCTGATAAAGTGCATTCGCGTTCGTCGGCCCGTTAGCTCAGTTGGTTAGAGCGTCGTGCTAATAACGCGAAGGTCGCGGGTTCGATCCCCTCACGGGCCAGTCTTTTTCCTGCAGTTTTTAATTGTTTGGAAGGGAGCCCTCCGTACAGAAAAATAGTCTGATAAAGTGGATTCGCGTTCGTCGGCCCGTTAGCTCAGTTGGTTAGAGCGTCGTGCTAATAACGCGAAGGTCGCGGGTTCGATCCCCTCACGGGCCAGTCTTTTTCCTGCAGTTTTTAATTGTTTGGAAGGGAGCCCTCCGTACAGAAAAATAGTCTGATAAAGTGCATTCGCGTTCGTCGGCCCGTTAGCTCAGTTGGTTAGAGCGTCGTGCTAATAACGCGAAGGTCGCGGGTTCGATCCCCTCACGGGCCAGTCTTTTTCCTGCAGTTTTTAATTGTTTGGAAGGGAGCCCTCCGTACAGAAAATAGTCTGATAAAGTGCATTCGCGTTCGTCGGCCCGTTAGCTCAGTTGGTTAGAGCGTCGTGCTAATAACGCGAAGGTCGCGGGTTCGATCCCCTCACGGGCCAGTCTTTTTCCTGCAGTTTTTAATTGTTTGGAAGGGAGCCCTCCGTACAGAAAATAGTCTGATAAAGTGCATTCGCGTTCGTCGGCCCGTTAGCTCAGTTGGTTAGAGCGTCGTGCTAATAACGCGAAGGTCGCGGGTTCGATCCCCTCACGGGCCAGTCTTTTTCCTGCAGTTTTTAATTGTTTGGAAGGGAGCCCTCCGTACAGAAAAATAGTCTGATAAAGTGCATTCGCGTTCGTCGGCCCGTTAGCTCAGTTGGTTAGAGCGTCGTGCTAATAACGCGAAGGTCGCGGGTTCGATCCCCTCACGGGCCAGTCTTTTCCTGCAGTTTTTAATTGTTTGGAAGGGAGCCCTCCGTACAGAAAAATAGTCTGATAAAGTGGAGTCGCGTTCGTCGGCCCGTTAGCTCAGTTGGTTAGAGCGTCGTGCTAATAACGCGAAGGTCGCGGGTTCGATCCCCTCACGGGCCAGTCTTTTTCCTGCAGTTTTTAATTGTTTGGAAGGGAGCCCTCCGTACAGAAAAATAGTCTGATAAAGTGGATTCGCGTTCGTCGGCCCGTTAGCTCAGTTGGTTAGAGCGTCGTGCTAATAACGCGAAGGTCGCGGGTTCGATCCCCTCACGGGCCAGTCTTTTCCTGCAGTTTTTAATTGTTTGGAAGGGAGCCCTCCGTACAGAAAAATAGTCTGATAAAGTGGATTCGCGCGTTCGTCGGCCCGTTAGCTCAGTTGGTTAGAGCGTCGTGCTAATAACGCGAAGGTCGCGGGTTCGATCCCCTCACGGGCCAGTCTTTTTCCTGCAGTTTTTAATTGTTTGGAAGGGAGCCCTCCGTACAGAAAAATAGTCTGATAAAGTGCATTCGCGTTCGTCGGCCCGTTAGCTCAGTTGGTTAGAGCGTCGTGCTAATAACGCGAAGGTCGCGGGTTCGATCCCCTCACGGGCCAGTCTTTTTCCTGCAGTTTTTAATTGTTTGGAAGGGAGCCCTCCGTACAGAAAAAAGTCTGATAGTCTGATAAAGTGCATTCGCGTTCGTCGGCCCGTTAGCTCAGTTGGTTAGAGCGTCGTGCTAATAACGCGAAGGTCGCGGGTTCGATCCCCTCACGGGCCAGTCTTTTTCCTGCAGTTTTTAATTGTTTGGAAGGGAGCCCTCCGTACAGAAAAATAGTCTGATAAAAAAGTGGATTCGCGTTCGTCGGCCCGTTAGCTCAGTTGGTTAGAGCGTCGTGCTAATAACGCGAAGGTCGCGGGTTCGATCCCCTCACGGGCCAGTCTTTTTCCTGCAGTTTTTAATTGTTTGGAAGGGAGCCCTCCGTACAGAAAATAGTCTGATAAAGTGCATTCGCGTTCGTCGGCCCGTTAGCTCAGTTGGTTAGAGCGTCGTGCTAATAACGCGAAGGTCGCGGGTTCGATCCCCTCACGGGCCAGTCTTTTTCCTGCAGTTTTTAATTGTTTGGAAGGGAGCCCTCCGTACAGAAAAATAGTCTGATAAAGTGGAGTCGCGTTCGTCGGCCCGTTAGCTCAGTTGGTTAGAGCGTCGTGCTAATAACGCGAAGGTCGCGGGTTCGATCCCCTCACGGGCCAGTCTTTTTCCTGCAGTTTTTAATTGTTTGGAAGGGAGCCCTCCGTACAGAAAAATAGTCTGATAAAGTGCATTCGCGTTCGTCGGCCCGTTAGCTCAGTTGGTTAGAGCGTCGTGCTAATAACGCGAAGGTCGCGGGTTCGATCCCCTCACGGGCCAGTCTTTTTCCTGCAGTTTTTAATTGTTTGGAAGGGAGCCCTCCGTACAGAAAAATAGTCTGATAAAGTGGAGTCGCGTTCGTCGGCCCGTTAGCTCAGTTGGTTAGAGCGTCGTGCTAATAACGCGAAGGTCGCGGGTTTGATCTCCTCACGGGCCAGTCTCTTTCCTGCAGTTTTCAATTGTTTGGAAGGGAGCCCTCCATACAGAAAAAAGTCTGAAATAGTGGAGTTGCGTTCGCCGGCCCGTTAGCTCAGTTGGTTAGAGCGTCGTGCTAATAACGCGAAGGTCGCGGGTTTGATCCCCTCACGGGCCAGTCTTTTCGGCCCGTTAGCTTTTGCAGTTTTTAATTGTTTGGAAGGGAGCCCTCCATACAGAAAAAAGTCTGAAATAGTGGAGTTGCGTTCGTCGGCCCGTTAGCTCAGTTGGTTAGAGCGTCGTGCTAATAACGCGAAGGTCGCGGGTTCGATCACCTCACGGGCCAGTCTTTTTCCTGCAGTTTTTAATTGTTTGGAAGGGAGCCCTCCGTAGAGAAAAAGTCTGATAAAGTGGACGCGCGTTCGTCGGCCCGTTAGCTCAGTTGGTTAGAGCGTCGTGCTAATAACGCGAAGGTCGCGGGTTCGATCCCCTCACGGGCCAGTCTTTTTCCTGCAGTTTTTAATTGTTTGGAAGGGAGCCCTCCGTACAGAAAAATAGTCTGATAAAGTGGATTCGCGTTCGTCGGCCCGTTAGCTCAGTTGGTTAGAGCGTCGTGCTAATAACGCGAAGGTCGCGGGTTCGATCCCCTCACGGGCCAGTCTTTTTCCTGCAGTTTTTAATTGTTTGGAAGGGAGCCCTCCGTAGAGAAAATAGTCTGATAAAGTGGAGTCGCGCGTTCGTCGGCCCGTTAGCTCAGTTGGTTAGAGCGTCGTGCTAATAACGCGAAGGTCGCGGGTTCGATCCCCTCACGGGCCAGTCTTTTTCCTGCAGTTTTTAATTGTTTGGAAGGGAGCCCTCCGTACAGAAAAATAGTCTGATAAAGTGGATTCGCGTTCGTCGGCCCGTTAGCTCAGTTGGTTAGAGCGTCGTGCTAATAACGCGAAGGTCGCGGGTTCGATCCCCTCACGGGCCAGTCTTTTTCCTGCAGTTTTTAATTGTTTGGAAGGGAGCCCTCCGTACAGAAAAATAGTCTGATAAAGTGGACATTCGCGTTCGTCGGCCCGTTAGCTCAGTTGGTTAGAGCGTCGTGCTAATAACGCGAAGGTCGCGGGTTCGATCCCCTCACGGGCCAGTCTTTTTCCTGCAGTTTTTAATTGTTTGGAAGGGAGCCCTCCGTAGAGAAAAATAGTCTGATAAAGTGGATTCGCGTTCGTCGGCCCGTTAGCTCAGTTGGTTAGAGCGTCGTGCTAATAACGCGAAGGTCGCGGGTTCGATCCCCTCACCCCTCACGGGCCAGTCTTTTCCTGCAGTTTTTAATTGTTTGGAAGGGAGCCCTCCGTAGAGAAAAATAGTCTGATAAAGTGGATTCGCGTTCGTCGGCCCGTTAGCTCAGTTGGTTAGAGCGTCGTGCTAATAACGCGAAGGTCGCGGGTTCGATCCCCTCACGGGCCAGTCTTTTTCCTGCAGTTTTTAATTGTTTGGAAGGGAGCCCTCCGTACAGAAAAATAGTCTGATAAAGTGGATTCGCGTTCGTCGGCCCGTTAGCTCAGTTGGTTAGAGCGTCGTGCTAATAACGCGAAGGTCGCGGGTTCGATCCCCTCACGGGCCAGTCTTTTTCCTGCAGTTTTTAATTGTTTGGAAGGGAGCCCTCCGTACAGAAAAATAGTCTGATAAAGTGGATTCGCGTTCGTCGGCCCGTTAGCTCAGTTGGTTAGAGCGTCGTGCTAATAACGCGAAGGTCGCGGGTTCGATCCCCTCACGGGCCAGTCTTTTTCCTGCAGTTTTTAATTGTTTGGAAGGGAGCCCTCCGTAGAGAAAAATAGTCTGATAAAGTGGATTCGCGTTCGTCGGCCCGTTAGCTCAGTTGGTTAGAGCGTCGTGCTAATAACGCGAAGGTCGCGGGTTCGATCCCCTCACGGGCCAGTCTTTTTCCTGCAGTTTTTAATTGTTTGGAAGGGAGCCCTCCGTAGAGAAAAATAGTCTGATAAAGTGGATTCGCGTTCGTCGGCCCGTTAGCTCAGTTGGTTAGAGCGTCGTGCTAATAACGCGAAGGTCGCGGGTTCGATCCCCTCACGGGCCAGTCTTTTTCCTGCAGTTTTTAATTGTTTGGAAGGGAGCCCTCCGTAGAGAAAAATAGTCTGATAAAGTGGAGTCGCGTTCGTCGGCCCGTTAGCTCAGTTGGTTAGAGCGTCGTGCTAATAACGCGAAGGTCGCGGGTTCGATCCCCTCACGGGCCAGTCTTTTTCCTGCAGTTTTTAATTGTTTGGAAGGGAGCCCTCCGTAGAGAAAAATAGTCTGATAAAGTGGAGGCACGTTCGTCGGCCCGTTAGCTCAGTTGTTAGGCGCGTTCGTCGGCCCGTTAGCTCAGTTGGTTAGAGCGTCGTGCTAATAACGCGAAGGTCGCGGGTTCGATCCCCTCACGGGCCAGTCTTTTTCCTGCAGTTTTTAATTGTTTGGAAGGGAGCCCTCCGTAGAGAAAAATAGTCTGATAAAGTGGATTCGCGTTCGTCGGCCCGTTAGCTCAGTTGGTTAGAGCGTCGTGCTAATAACGCGAAGGTCGCGGGTTCGATCCCCTCACGGGCCAGTCTTTTTCCTGCAGTTTTTAATTGTTTGGAAGGGAGCCCTCCGTAGAGAAAAATAGTCTGATAAAGTGGACGCGCGTTCGTCGGCCCGTTAGCTCAGTTGGTTAGAGCGTCGTGCTAATAACGCGAAGAAGGTCGCGGGTTCGATCCCCTCACGGGCCAGTCTTTTTCCTGCAGTTTTTAATTGTTTGGAAGGGAGCCCTCCGTAGAGAAAAATAGTCTGATAAAGTGGAGGCGCGTTCGTCGGCCCGTTAGCTCAGTTGGTTGGTTAGAGCGTCGTGCTAATAACGCGAAGGTCGCGGGTTCGATCCCCCTCACGGGCCAGTCTTTTTCCTGCAGTTTTTAATTGTTTGGAAGGGAGCCCTCCGTAGAGAAAAATAGTCTGATAAAGTGGAGGCGTTTCGTCGGCCCGTTAGCTCAGTTGGTTAGAGCGTCGTGCTAATAACGCGAAGGTCGCGGGTTCGATCCCCTCACGGGCCAGTCTTTTTCCTGCAGTTTTTAATTGTTTGGAAGGGAGCCCTCCGTACAGAAAAATAGCCTGATAAAGTCGACGCGCGCGTTGGTCGGCCCGTTAGCTCAGTTGGGTAGAGCGTCGTGCTAATAACGCGAAGGTCGCGGGTTCGATCCCCTCACGGGCCAGTCTTTTTCCTGCAGTTTTTAATTGTTTGGAAGGGAGCCCTCCGTAGAGAAAAATAGTCTGATAAAGTGGAGCGCGTTCGTCGGCCCGTTAGCTCAGTTGGTTAGAGCGTCGTGCTAATAACGCGAAGGTCGCGGGTTCGATCCCCTCACGGGCCAGTCTTTTTCCTGCAGTTTTTAATTGTTTGGAAGGGAGCCCTCCGTAGAGAAAAATAGTCTGATAAAGTGGACTCGCGTTCGTCGGCCCGTTAGCTCAGTTGGTTAGAGCGTCGTGCTAATAACGCGAAGGTCGCGGGTTCGATCCCCTCACGGGCCAGTCTTTTTCCTGCAGTTTTTAATTGTTTGGAAGGGAGCCCTCCGTAGAAAAATAGTCTGATAAAGTGGAGTCGCGTTCGTCGGCCCGTTAGCTCAGTTGGTTAGAGCGTCGTGCTAATAACGCGAAGGTCGCGGGTTCGATCCCCTCACGGGCCAGTCTTTTTCCTGCAGTTTTTAATTGTTTGGAAGGGAGCCCTCCGTAGAGAAAAATAGTCTGATAAAGTGGACGCGCGTTCGTCGGCCCGTTAGCTCAGTTGGTTAGAGCGTCGTGATAACGCGAAGGTCGCGGGTTCGATCCCCTCACGGGCCAGTCTTTTTCCTGCAGTTTTTAATTGTTTGGAAGGGAGCCCTCCGTAGAGAAAATAGTCTGATAAAGTGCATTCGCGTTCGTCGGCCCGTTAGCTCAGTTGGTTAGAGCGTCGTGCTAATAACGCGAAGGTCGCGGGTTCGATCCCCTCACGGGCCAGTCTTTTTCCTGCAGTTTTTAATTGTTTGGAAGGGAGCCCTCCGTAGAGAAAAAAAAAGTAGTCTGATAAAGTGGACGCGCGTTCGTCGGCCCGTTAGCTCAGTTGGTTAGAGCGTCGTGCTAATAACGCGAAGGTCGCGGGTTCGATCCCCTCACGGGCCAGTCTTTTTCCTGCAGTTTTTAATTGTTTGGAAGGGAGCCCTCCGTAGAAAAAATAGTCTGATAAAGTGGACGCGTTTCGTCGGCCCGTTAGCTCAGTTGGTTAGAGCGTCGTGCTAATAACGCGAAGGTCGCGGGTTCGTTCCCTCACGGGCCAGTCTTTTTCCTGTAGTTTTCAATTGTTTGGAAGGGAGCCCTCCGTACAGAAAACGAGTCTGATAAAGTGCATTCGCGTTCGTCGGCCCGTTAGCTCAGTTGGTTAGAGCGTCGTGCTAATAACGCGAAGGTCGCGGGTTCGATCCCCTCACGGGCCAGTCTTTTTCCTGCAGTTTTTAATTGTTTGGAAGGGAGCCCTCCGTAGAGAAAAATAGTCTGATAAAGTGGAGTCGCGTTCGTCGGCCCGTTAGCTCAGTTGGTTAGAGCGTCGTGCTAATAACGCGAAGGTCGCGGGTTCGATCCCCTCACGGGCCAGTCTTTTTCCTGCAGTTTTTAATTGTTTGGAAGGGAGCCCTCCGTAGAGAAAAATAGTCTGATAAAGTGGAGCGCGTTCGTCGGCCCGTTAGCTCAGTTGGTTAGAGCGTCGTGCTAATAACGCGAAGGTCGCGGGTTCGATCCCCTCACGGGCCAGTCTTTTTTTTCCTGCAGTTTTTAATTGTTTGGAAGGGAGCCCTCCGTAGAGAAAAATAGTCTGATAAAGTGGAGGCGCGTTCGTCGGCCCGTTAGCTCAGTTGGTTAGAGCGTCGTGCTAATAACGCGAAGGTCGCGGGTTCGATCCCCTCACGGGCCAGTCTTTTTCCTGCAGTTTTTAATTGTTTGGAAGGGAGCCCTCCGTAGAGAAAAATAGTCTGATAAAGTGGAGTCGCGTTCGTCGGCCCGTTAGCTCAGTTGGTTAGAGCGTCGTGCTAATAACGCGAAGGTCGCGGGTTCGATCCCCTCACGGGCCAGTCTTTTTCCTGCAGTTTTTAATTGTTTGGAAGGGAGCCCTCCGTAGAGAAAAATAGTCTGATAAAGTGGACGCGCGTTCGTCGGCCCGTTAGCTCAGTTGGTTAGAGCGTCGTGCTAATAACGCGAAGGTCGCGGGTTCGATCCCCTCACGGGCCAGTCTTTTTCCTGCAGTTTTTAATTGTTTGGAAGGGAGCCCTCCGTAGAGAAAAATAGTCTGATAAAGTGCATTCGCGTTCGTCGGCCCGTTAAAATAGTCTGATAAAGTGGACGCGTTCGTCGGCCCGTTAGCTCAGTTGGTTAGAGCGTCGTGCTAATAACGCGAAGGTCGCGGGTTCGATCCCCTCACGGGCCAGTCTTTTTCCTGCAGTTTTTAATTGTTTGGAAGGGAGCCCTCCGTAGAGAAAAATAGTCTGATAAAGTGGAGGCGCTTTCGTCGGCCCGTTAGCTCAGTTGGTTAGAGCGTCGTGCTAATAACGCGAAGGTCGCGGGTTCGATCCCCTCACGGGCCAGTCTTTTTCCTGCAGTTTTTAATTGTTTGGAAGGGAGCCCTCCGTAGAGAAAAATAGTCTGATAAAGTGGAGCGCGTTCGTCGGCCCGTTAGCTCAGTTGGTTAGAGCGTCGTGCTAATAACGCGAAGGTCGCGGGTTCGATCCCCTCACGGGCCAGTCTTTTTCCTGCAGTTTTTAATTGTTTGGAAGGGAGCCCTCCGTAGAGAAAAATAATAAAGTCTGATAAAGTGTGGCGCGTTCGTCGGCCCGTTAGCTCAGTTGGTTAGAGCGTCGTGCTAATAACGCGAAGGTCGCGGGTTCGATCCCCTCACGGGCCAGTCTTTTTCCTGCAGTTTTTAATTGTTTGGAAGGGAGCCCTCCGTAGAGAAAAATAGTCTGATAAAGTGGACGCGCGTTCGTCGGCCCGTTAGCTCAGTTGGTTAGAGCGTCGTGCTAATAACGCGAAGGTCGCGGGTTCGATCCCCTCACGGGCCAGTCTTTTTCCTGCAGTTTTTAATTGTTTGGAAGGGAGCCCTCCGTAGAGAAAAATAGTCTGATAAAGTGGAGCGCGTTCGTCGGCCCGTTAGCTCAGTTGGTTAGAGCGTCGTGCTAATAACGCGAAGGTCGCGGGTTCGATCCCCTCACGGGCCAGTCTTTTCCTGCAGTTTTTAATTGTTTGGAAGGGAGCCCTCCGTAGAGAAAAAT